TGTTTTTGGCATATTTGACATGTTTTTGAAGGCTGAGAGGGGATCTCATCAACACTGATCAGTATCTGCAGGGCGGGTGTCCAGAGGATGGGGCCAGACTCTTTCCAGTGGTGCCCAGCGACAGCACAAGGGGCAACGGGCACAAACTGGAACACGGGAAACTCCATCTCAACATGGGGAAAAACTTCTTTGCTTTGAGGGGCGCAGAGCCCTGGCACAGGCTGCCCAGAGAGGCTGTGGAGTCTCCTTCTCCGGAGAGATCCCAAGGCCGCCTGGACGCGTTCCTGTCCAACCTGCTCTGGGTGACCCCGCTCTGGCAGGGGGGTTGGACTGGATGATGGCTGAAGGTCCCTTCCAACCCCCGCCATGCTGTGATTCTGTGATATCAGAGGCTCCTGTCCCATCCCTGTATTTGTACTGGCAAAACTGAGAGGGCAGCTCAGGAAATGAGAATAAATGCATGAGTTTAGGGGTTGGCTGAAAGCACTGAAGATGATTTTGCTGGTTGCCTTCTCCCTGGAACCAGAGCCTAAAATGAAGTCTGGTTTTGGCTCCCCACTGCCAGAGTGAAATTTTTCAGCCTGCTCCAACTTTTCGGCTTCAGGTTTCCCACACAGTAAAACAAGGCATATTTTCATAATATGCCAACTGAAGGCTTAGCTGATGTTTGAGAAGTATTTTGTGAGCCTTGTTGTGAAGAGTTGTGAAATGCAAACAACCATATATTGGTATTACTGAAGGGTTTTAACAGCCTTAAAGATAACTGAACACCTTGGGTCTGTTTCAGCATTTTCGTGGAAGGAAGAACCGCTGCTATAAGCTGGCTGTACGAAGTGTTCGGAGAGCTTTTGTAAAGTCTACAAAGGCCAGAAGAGAGAAGAAGAGATTCCTCAGAGCGGTAAAGAGCAAGATGTTATATATAAACATTAAAATGGGAGAAGAGCAGAACTGAAATAGCCATTTTCCTTACTGGGGGAGGTCTCTCAAAATGTTTTACCAGTGGGTGAAAACTATGAGTTTATGCATAGTTCCTCTGTGGTCTGAAAAAGCTCACATTCTGAAGTTCATACATGTATATGTTGCACTGAGAAGACCGTAGGTCTGAAAATGTTGTATTTACTAAGTGTGAGCAGATCAGCATGACAAAAGGTTTACTTTTAAAATATTTTATTAATATGTTAATTTTTACCCTTTTAGCTCTGGATCACTAGGATTGAAGCAGCTTCTCTTGAACATGGTTTGAAATACCCAGCTTTCATAAGCAATCTGCTTAAGGTAAGGATGGTGCTTGAAGAATAATTACTTCGAAACAACAGATTGGTGGAAATGTCTGATAGATGTTTTCTGAAGTACCAGGCAAATTAATTTCTTAAAACTCTGAAATCTTTTAAGTAGATGTGGTCTGACAAAACATATCAAAGGGTTGCTGGTTACTGTCTAAGAGTGCAACTGCAAGGAATTGAAGCTGCAGCCTCCACTTGCCAATCTTTGAAGTTATGGTCGGGACCTTCAAATTGGTGCCTGAGTAGGCTGTAGTGGCATAGGGCATAGTGGAGGGATTGAAAAGCTCCTTCTGTCAGACTGAACTTCTGCCAACACGGTTCTGCTTCCTAGTTCTAGTGATGAAGGGCCTTCTGCTTATGAAAGGAGTTTCATTCACTGCAGGAACTAAGTTCTGCCCTAAACCTGTTCCTCTTCCGTATATCCTTAACCCCTTTTATCCTGGTGAACATTGTTGCTTTACACCTTATTCTGTCCCCAAACTTTTACTGCGCATCTTAGGAATGAGACTTGTAAAATGTTTTCACTCTTGTTGCTACTGCGGGCATTAAGTGACAACTGCCTTTACTTCAAGAAGTTTAAAAATACAAAGCTTGGATTAGCAAAAACAACCCTAAGAAATCTCTGCTCTTTGACTACTAGCTTTGTATTTCAGTGAGCACAGACAATGCAGAGAGTTGGTGCCATTGCCCTTTGTTCCTAAACATGCTGGGGAATTGGTTTTAATTTGCTTATACTGGAACTGTAAAATTAAAACTTGTTTCTGTTGGCTGTGATCATAATAAAAAGGTAGTGTCTCCGCTTCTTAAAGTGGAACTACATATAAATTTATAGCATATTTCAAAGCATATTTATCTATGTTTCAAATAAGTAGGTAACTTTCTAGGTTTCCTGACGTGTTTCCTGTAAAGTAACACAGTTTCTGAAATTCATACACTCATTCTCCTGGTTACTCTTACCATACTGTAACCAAAAGAATCAAGCACTGTCTAAAAGCTAACTCATTTTTCTTCTTTTCTTCTCTCAAGATGCCTGTCCCTCAGATTCTTGTCTCGGAGCAATACATTTTTGTAAGGTTCTCTGTTAAAAGATCCAAAAGAAGAAAACTGTTTTATGGCATACCTCCCTCTGGAAACATGCAGTTAACCGTGCAATATCTAGCCTTCTTAAGAGTATTTGATCCTGCAGTCTTTATTCCTCTACTCAAGGACAAATTTTAAGATAGCAAGCAGCTTCTAGCACAACAAGTAAACCTGAATATGTCTAAGAACTGAAACAAATGCCATGGATTAACCTGTAACATGTGGCCTTCCGTGAAATGAGGTTCTTCTTCAGTTCTTGGTTTCTACCTGAAAGACTTTGAGAAAGTCAGTATAACAAATTTTATATGGTGTCTTAATGAGCCATCCATGGCTAAGTAGTCATGTCTGACAGTTGTCTGACTAATGGTTCCAAAATTGTTCACTGTAGAAAAAAGGTAATTTGCCTTAAGACCTCAGGTAACCATTAAGCATTGCACTGTTGTTCCTAAAAATTATAATACTTAACCAACAAATTTTCTTGCATTTAGTCCCAGGTGGAGCTGAATAGGAAAATGATTGCCGATTTGGCTATTTATGAGCCGAAGACGTTCAAGTCCCTAGCTGCCTTAGCCCAGCGGAGGAGACAAGAAGGCTTCCTTGCTGCCCTGGGAGATGGAAAAGAACCAGAGGGGATATTTTCACGTATTGTACACCACTATTGATATTAAAAGAGCCTGCAGATACGTGTTATAAAGAGGACCTTGTATAGCAAAGTAAAGTCGCTTGCTGACGGCTGCTGCACTCGTAGCTGTGGAATAAAATCCTCTGAGGAGGGTTCCAGAAGTAGGCCGGGGCGGGTGCGAAGCAGCGGTCAGGCCTGTAGGAGTTTGAAGCCTAATGACATACACAGCGTGCGGATGCTTTCCGTTATTAATAAAGATATTTTTTTTTGGTAACTGCTACTGGAAAAGCCGTCAGAGTGGTGACTTTTGGCCCCCCTCGGGGGGAGTTCACCCCCCTCCACCAGGCCCGGGCCACCCCGTCGCGCCTGAGGGCGGTGGCGCGCGCCGGAAGTCCCGCCCTTTCCGGTCTCGTTCAAATTCCCAACCGGTGCGTCACGCCGCTCCCTTCAGCCTGGGGAGGGTGGGGTGAAGCGTCAGAGCGTTCGCGGCGGCCGGGCCAATCG